ATTTTTGAAGGAAAAGTTCTCTAGTCAACGATTGATATAGAGAAGAAAATAAAGAAAATGAAAGAAGATTCTCAACAATTTCGGCAATACTTTGTGTTGTATATAAAATTAAAATTAGTAAGCACTTTCTTCCCATCGTTGAAGACTTGGCATCTTTGAAGTGTAAGAACTGGGCAAAGTTTGTATTTGACTACATGATTCAGGCGGTACGTGACTACAAGATGGGTCCTCGCAATAGTATCAGGGGTTGCATTATTCTCCTCATGGTGACGTATTACACTCATTGATTATTTCTTTCTAATTTTGGTTTAACTTACCCATAATTAATTATTTGTTGTCTTCTAACTAGATTTTCTTCTTTGAACCCGTCACACCTATGGGGAAGAATCTGGTTGATTTGGCATCACGACCCTGCCCTCGCATTGGAGAATGAGATGACATAAAAATAGGTGCGCACCTTGTGCAGCTAAAGGAGTTAAGTGGATATAAAAATGACAAGGTAAGCCATTTGTATCATATTGTTACAACACACATCATGGATTATTTAGTATATTAATGAGCTCTAACATTATTTTCAAATGTATATTGCATGGTTGATGTAGATTAAGGTGACGGTTACTGATGTATGTCAGCATCGGCTATCAACTGATGCATGCGTCAACGTAGAAGTAGATGTATGTTTATTACTCAACACCTTACCATTGCTACCATATGTTTTACGCAACACCCAATTTAGATTGTTCATTTGTTCACAAATTGTTCCATTGTTCACATATTGTTCATTTGTTTTGTTCAGGATTTTGACTCAAGATTGTGAAGATTAGAGGTGACACAGACTACAATGAAATTAGATTTTCGAGATTTGTGTCTCAAGGTTGATGTCGAGCTTTCGACTATAAAGGACTTATTAAGGAATTTATCTGACTGAGTCAACGCCATCGATAACAAATTAGAAGGTGTTGAGGAATTGAATAAGAATGAAAGAGGTGATGAGGAATTGGATATAAAAAATGTTGATGATGATGACGGTGATGGCGACGACAACGTAAGTGAATCATGATATATTTTTTTAATTATTTGGATATTAGAATACTAAATGCCTTAACTGGTAATATTAGATAATTATATTCATACCATTGCAGGATAAAGATGATACTGATATGCCAGAGGGGGTACCCTCACATAACAAGAGTCCTCCGAAGCTACGAGAAGTCAATATGGGAGTACATACTCGACAATTACTTAAAAAAATTGTAAGTGAATCCATTATTTATCAAACATTATTCTTTCAGCATAATTGGTACGCTGCATTGACAAATTGATACCATTTCAATACATGCAGAGGTTCTTGTAGATTTTGAAGACATCATATTTTCGGCGACTCGGAAGTCAATGCAGTCCTTATGTGGAATGGAGTGGATAGCTGATGATGTACTAGATTGTTTTTTAATGCATTATTACCATCAATTATTTTGCCAAAGTAGTATACAATACCCAATATTTTATTTTTGTCCTGATTAACAGGTGATAAATATGGTTCACTGTGTTATGTCACCCGAAACCAAGATCAACCGCACCAACCAAAATGCCAGATGGTACTTCCCAACAATGTTTTCAGTAAAGTATACATACTCCTCATTGTTGGGTTGTGTGATACTCATGATATGTGTTTGTTAATCGTATATACTTAATAAATGGTTTTGGCAGCAAGCAACAATTACGAGGAAGAATAAAGGAAAAAATTTCTTAAATTCTGTTATTAGACAAACTTTTTCCCGTTTCATTGGTGACATTAAAAATTACGATAAGGTTTGACATTCTCATTTTAGTTTATATAGGTCCTTCTCATTAATTATGGTGTACATATATGTGTGATCTCATTTATCATTGTATTATTTTCGTGTCATTGTAGATATATTTACCCATAAATGATGCAAATTCCCATTGGTACCTCACCATAGTAGATGTCCCAAAAAAGGAAATCTTGTTTCTCGATACTTTGCCTACTGCTCAAAGGAATCTGAGACGAGTTTAGCAGACAAAGAAAACGGTAACGTTTGTACAACCTAAATTATTTAGGGCTTGTGTAATGAAATACCTGTCATCTCACACATTAAAATAATATAGTTGTTTCCTTAAATAGGTGATGGTGTTATGTCATCTAATACGTGAGGTGATCACCGATGTGGAAGAAATGCATGAATGACCGATTATTCAGCCAAATTGGGTGCCCGTACAGAAGAATGGCTATGATTGCGGTATGCATGTTATATTGATGATCCAAGAGCCAGAGTTGGGTCCAGATTTCCCTATAAAGGTGTTAATTTATTGCATACATGATATTACAATGTTACTGTTAACTTCAATATAGTATTGTATTTTGCGTGGTTGAGTGAAGTTAATGTTGTTTTACAAATGCTCTTGTAGGAACCTATGACAGAAATGCGAAGGGAATTAGGGAATTAGGCCTAAAATTGGTCATACACGACAATAACATTAAGAAAGACACAACAATATATAAGGCAGTAATGCATTCATATATGAAGAACTAATTAATTCAGTCATTGTGGTAAGCTATACTAATTTGTGGAAGTTGGAGGTTTTTCCATACTTTTATATTATATACATATATATAATATATATTTATATTTATATTTTTNCAGTAAAGTATACATACTCCTCATTGTTGGGTTGTGTGATACTCATGATATGTGTTTGTTAATCGTACATACTTAATAAATGGTTTTGGCAGCAAGCAACAATTACGAGGAAGAATAAAGGAAAAAATTTCTTAAATTCTGTTATTAGACAAACTTTTTCCCGTTTCATTGGTGACATTAAAAATTACGATAAGGTTTGACATTCTCATTTTAGTTTATATAGGTCCTTCTCATTAATTATGGTGTACATATATGTGTGTTCTCATTTATCATTGTATTATTTTCGTGTCATTGTAGATATATTTACCCATAAATGATGCAAATTCCCATTGGTACCTCACCATAGTAGATGTCCCAAAAAAGGAAATCTTGTTTCTCGATACTTTGCCTACTGCTCAAAGGAATCTGAGACGAGTTTAGCAGACAAAGAAAACGGTAACGTTTGTACAACCTAAATTATTTAGGGCTTGTGTAATGAAGTACCTGTCATCTCACACATTAAAATAATATAGTTGTTTCCTTAAATAGGTGATGGTGTTATGTCATCTAATACGTGAGGTGATCACCGATGTGGAAGAAATGCATGAATGGCCGATTATTCAGCCAAATTGGGTGCCCGTACAGAAGAATGACTATGATTGCGGTATGCATGTTATATTGATGATCCAAGAGCCAGAGTTGGGTCCAGATTTCCCTATAAAGGTGTTAATTTATTGCATACATGATATTACAATGTTACTGTTAACTTCAATATAGTATTGTATTTTGCGTGGTTGAGTGAAGTTAATGTTGTTTTACAAATGCTCTTGTAGGAACCTATGACAGAAATGCGAAGGGAATTAGGCCTAAAATTGGTCATACACGACAATAACATTAAGAAAGACGCAACAATATATAAGGCAGTAATGCATTCATATATGAAGAACTAATTAATTCAGTCATTGTGGTAAGCTATACTAATTTGTGGAAGTTGGAGGTTTTTTCATACTTTTATATTATATACATATATATAATATATATTTATATTTATATTTTTTGAAAATGACTGAATGAGTGGGTTATACCCTTTGGTGGAGTTTTTACGTTGTTTGGGTAGGGTTATTACTTTTTTTGTATTTGGTTCCTACTTTTGGGTTGTGATTCCAACTTTTATGGATTATGTTCCAACTATTTTGGATTGGTGTTACAACTAGAGTGGTTTACAATTTGTTGGGATGGGTTCCAACTCATTTTCTTGCATGAGTTGTATATTTGTGTTTACTTTGGCTGTGAAACCATCATTTCGAAATCATTTACTCCAACTACCATCATATAACCATTAGATCTTTAAAGAAGAATAAAATCTAACCATTGCTGATTTGAGTAAAGGTTTGAAGATGCTTTAGGGGTTAAATTGTGCAATTACACGTGGCTCTCAATGGTTTACATGACACTTGAGGGTGAGGCTCTCCTTATGATCTAGATTTGTGAGCATTCTGTGATGTCAGAGGTAAATATGTATTCCTTAGCTGACAGATGCTTGTAAACAAAGAAATGTGTATTTATGTGAAAGTTTAGTTGTTAATGAAATAAAGTGGTCTTGTCATCTTCAACATTTGAATGCTCAATCTCTACTGCTTCGAGGGGGAACTGTGATTTTCTTTCCTTTTTGGTTCTAATGCCAATTCAGCTCCAAAACATAATGTTGTTTTTTTATATTGTGAAGTAATTTAACACGTACATATTTTGTTCAATTGGTTCATAGATAGCCTCTACCTTTACCTTTTTGGCAATTTGTTTTGGTAGCATATGTTTTCTGTGGTGTCTATGGAAATAATTTTGATGTATCTTAAAGTTGTGTTTTTTGAGTAATTGGGATTTGGGAGTAGTTAGAGATTCTTGCATTTTTTTGAATAATACTTTTTGTAGTTACCTTTACTTTTCGCTTTTTCTTTTGGTTTCTTTTTGGTATGGGAGTCTCACTTTTTTGTGCATAGATTATCATGTTATGAGGTTTGGTGTTTCTGACAAAGTTCACATCTCGGAACGAGTTCAAGTACTAGTAGGAGCTTGAGCTTGAGCAACATTACCAATTTTATTGTTGGCCATTGCCAACTTTTAGTTTTGCAAAATTGTATGGTTAGGAATTAGAAGGAAATTGCATCTGCCCTCATTTTCTATTGATTGACTATATTTCACTGAAATTTATAAATTTCAAATGAAGGGAGTTGTTGGGCATTCTCAACGGTTACTGCTGTGGAAGGAATAAATCAGATTGTAACAGGTGATTTAACAGTCCTATTAGAGCAGGAGTTGGTGGAATGTGAAAATTCTTATAATCAAGGATACAATGGTGGTCTTATGGATTATGCTTTTCAATTATCATCAATAATGGTGGAATTGAATCTGAGGAAGATTACCCTTACCGAGTTCTTGATGGCAGATGTGATTAGAATCGAGTACAAGAACGACACCATAATCTGCAAGGAGGTCTTCCTCACCCCCGTCGTCCTCAAAGAGTGTCGCCGCATCGTCGCCGACAGCGAGGTGGGTCTTTCTTCTTCTTCTTCTTCTTCATATAATCAATGCCTTATTTATTTTTCTATTTATTGCTTGTTTATTTGTTTGATTATTGAGGAAGATGTTGGAATTAGAGGAGCAAATACGTGGGTTTTGATTTGAATTGTGGAGTTAAGTTTGCTTCTTTGATTTGATAGTTAGGGTTTAGGGCTTTAGGGTATTCTTCAAGTTCATCCCCTTTTTTCCGGGTTATTTTCTCAGTTAATCTGTTTGGTTCCTTTGAAAACTGAGGAAAATTAGAAGAAGTAAATTGTTAAATCCTTTGCTGTCACTTGAATTGTGGACTATTCAATATGTCTTTGAGTTTGGGACTTGTAAGAGAAAGAAAAGTAGAATTTCAATTTGTGTAATCTCTCATTATTGGCTATATGGTCTTCCTCCACAAGCTCATTCAATGTATAATAACACACGTTAGCTGGCTTTTGTTGTGTGGGTGACACTATTGTGTCCATATCACCATTAATAATTTGTCTCAAGGGTAATCATTTTGTATGGCACAGGACATCAAAAGGACTCTAACCACTACCATGTGGCTAGGGATGTTTCTTGGCCTTTGTTGCTCCTCTTTGGGGGACGGTTTTGGTCTTGCCAAGATCACTTCAATAGGCCTTGAATCTGACATTATTAAATGTTAATCCCAATATACTAGACTTCTTTGTTTGCTGATATATTGTCACACAATGTAACAGAGCAAGGGCAACCCAATGAGGGTANTGAATCTGACATTATTACATGTTAATCCCAATATACTAGACTTCTTCGTTTGCTGATATATTGTCACACAATGTAACAGAGCAAGGGCAACCCAATGAGGGTAAAAGCACTAAAATGAGGTCTGGCTGTACCAAACTGGGCTCGTCTGAATGCTGGCAGGAAGGTCAGCAATGCTTGATGAGCATTGGTATTTATGGGGTCTTGAAGGACAAAGGGATGATGGCACCACCTGGATTGCAAGGAGGAAAAATTTAAGTGTTTGTTAAACTATCTGTTGATGCACATCAAGACACCCTTTTTCACCACGTTTCCTTTGTTTGTATAAACTTCATGTGGCATCACTGTATATGTAAATCTAGCTCTTTCGTATTTGTTGTATAACAATTTACCTGAATTGACATTAAAATTTTATGGTCCAGCCTTGGAGTGCTTGGTTTCATAAACATCAAGCGGTATTATAAATAATCCCATTTTTAGAAAAGTAATGGGATTATTTGTTATGCACTAATGTGAAAAGTAATATTTGGTGATTCAAAAGGATGACATTTAACTCCTACATTCTTCATTCCCAAAAAATATGAGATCACAATGAGATCATGTCAACTCTTAGGTTTTTGCATTGTAATTTTTTTTTGACAAATTTGTGTTTTAGAGGTTGGCGATTCAATATATTCTANGTTCACAATGAGATCATGTGAACTCTTAGGTTTTTGCATTGTAAGTTTTTTTTGACAAATTTGTGTTTTAGAGGTTGGCGATTCAATATATTCTATCTTTTNGATCACAATGAGATCATGTCAACTCTTAGGTTTTTGCATTGTAATTTTTTTTTGACAAATTTGTGTTTTAGAGGTTGGCGATTCAATATATTCTATCTTTTCGATTTAATGGACTTAATTCTGGCACCTTTTCTACATTGGAGGGTTAATAATATCACACATTAATCTAATTCGATTATACTTATGCAATAAAATACTTTTTTGTGTAAAGGAAATAAAAAAATAAAATAGTGGGCCTAATAAAAAGTATATCTCTCATATTTTTTATTTCTCTTATTTTCCATCATTCATACCAAAGGAGTATAAGGAGTATAAAACTAGGAAATATTGCAGAAATGTACTAATTTTTCAAATTAAAAAAAAAAAAAAGAACAGATGCTCGTCTATTAATTTTTTTTTCCAAAGTATTTTCTTTTTATTATTTTTTGCTGAGCTTCTCCTACACGTTACCCAACCCATAGACGCTCAAGTACTTCTCTCCCCTTCCCCTCCCCCTCCCCTATCTCATTCACTCTCATTCTCTGTCTTTCCCTCAAGACTCCAAAGCGTCATCACCACCGCCACATCGCCACCACCGCAACTCCAGGTATGATTTCTCTAATTGGCTCCCATCTCTCTTTCTCTCTCGCTTTTTATCTGTGCTCCCACTGAAACTCCACCAAAACCCCCCATAAAACTAGACCAAAAACCCTAAAAATCCCATTGAAACTAAAGACACACACACAGATCCCACACCCTCTACGTCTCTCTATCTCACGAGTTTTAGANCAGGTATGATTTCTCTAATTGGCTCCCATCTCTCTTTCTCTCTCGCTTTTTATCTGTTCTCCCACTGAAACTCCACCAAAACCCCCCATAAAACTAGACCAAAAACCCTGAAAATCCCATTGAAACTGAAGACACACACACAGATCCCACACCCTCTACGTCTCTCTATCTCACGAGTTTTAGACAGTCAATCACACACACTAGCACACACATATCGCACATACAGAAACCCACACACACACAGATACATTGCACATATAGATACACACCCACATATACATCGCACTCACCCACCCACCTATTTTTGGTGTTTTGTATTAGTTTGATATTTTTAGNGACAGTCAATCACACACACTAGCACACACATATCGCACATACAGAAACCCACACACACAGATACATTGCACATATAGATACACACCCACACATAAATCACACTCACCCAGCCACCTATTTTTGGTGTTTTGTATTAGTTTGATATTTTTAGGTGTTTTGTATTGGTTTGATATGTTTGGGTATTTTGTAACTTTTCTATGAATTTTCTCATATTGGGTACTTTGTTGGAATTGGTCTAAATTATACATAATTTATGAAATTAACTGCGTAGCCTAACCGCACAACCATTGAAAAATGGATGATATTACTAACTTTTGCTCCTTAGTTCTAAAGAATTTGAAATTTGATTAATTTGTCGACTCATTTTTTTTTTTTTTTTTATGTACTATGTTAATGCTCTCTTCTTCTAAGAGTGCATTCAATTTCTTTTAAAATGCTATTATTTTTGTGTTTACTTTGCTAGACGTGATGAATAGTGATAATTTCACGGCAATATTTGCAATGAAAGTTGTATTCATGAAAATAATTGGGATAAAAGGCATATGCTTGATCATTGAGGTGGAGGAGATTAAAATAAATATATTTTGATTTGAGTTCTTATTTGATGTTACATTGCTTCGTTTTCTTCAAACTCGCAATGAATTTGAGGTTTATACCAATTCAATTGGATTTTAGTTTGGAGTTATTTTGTTTTTATTACTTTTTTTGGGATTGTTTAATTATTTGGCATTGTTCAATTTTGTAGCCACGCCAAATTGGATACCAAAAATTGGGTAGAGAGTGAAGCTACTATGTTAACTACGAGGAATTTTGTGTTTTCTCTTTAAGGTACTTGATTTAACATTTGTTCTTGGCATATGAAAGAAGTTTATGCGTGTAATTGGGTTTAGACTTTAGACAATATTTTGGGTGCTACAGAGAGTTTTGAAAATTTCTTTGCTTTTAACATACATCTTTTTGGAGATATGATTAGTGGCTTGATGTGATTATTATTATATATGATGTTGATGGTTATATGTTTTGTTTGAATTTATGTATGATTGCAAATTGTGAATTTTGGTTTTTTGATTGATTTGGATTATGTAGTGAGCTGTGAACAAACAAAAAATATATATTTTATGAATCAAAAGTACTATTAACCTAAAAGAAGAATACGATGGAACTGTGTGTTGGATCATGTACTATTAGTCTTATATCATGACCACAAACTTTGAATTTCTAAGGCCACCCAGAGGGATTCCAATAGCTTCGACCCGATTAGGNAGAAACTTTGAATTTCTAAGGCCACCCAGAGGGATTCCAATAGCTTCAACCCGATTAGGAGAACACTACTCTACCGCCAACTTGCTTTTTGGTACCATACCGAAAAGTAAGTTGGCCTATGTGTTTTACATGTGGCTCTTTAAAACCGGTTTCACCCGTATATAGTGAGCCATAAAAGTTGTTACCAAAAAGGGATAACTAGACCAAAAAGTTGTATTTCATCCCAAAACTTGTAACCCTAAAAATTATTGTAATCTACCCCACAAAATTGTAACATACCAAAAAAATTGAAATCAAATCCATGAAAGTTATAACTCGAAAAAAGGATTAACCCACCATTAAACTTGTACAACATCCAAAATAGTTGTTGTCTTACCATAAAAGGTAGAATCCCAGAAAAGTTGTATCTCATCATTAAAGTTNAACATTAAACTTGTAAAACATCCAAAATAGTTGTTGTCTTACCATAAAAGGTAGAATCCCAGAAAAGTTGTATCTCATCATTAAAGTTGTACCCCCACCCCCAAAAAGTTGTAATCATACCATGAAAGTTGTTATCCACCAAAAAGTTTGAAACCAAATCTACAAAAGGTATAACCCAAGAAAAGTAGTAACCATCCATTAAAATTGTACCACGAGTTGTACCACATCCAAAAGAGTTGTACACACATCCAAAAAAGTTGTAACCGTTGTACCATTTCCAATAGAGTTGTACCCCTATCCATTAAAGGTGTACCCTCGTCCAAAAGAGTTGTAATCCTACCTTTAAAGTTGTACCATATCTATTAAAGGTGTACGTACATCCAAGTTTGTGATGTTGACTTCATTATTTTCAAATTTTATGTTAATTTTATTATATGGAGTTTTGATGATTAATTTTTGTGGAGTTGGAATATGGGTTTGCAATTGACCGTTGGAGCTTTAAAATTGAATGTTAGGGTTACATTGATTCGAATGGGTGTTTTTTTAAATAACATTGTATTTTTAGGATTTTACAATAGAATGTTAGGGTTATTTTGTTGGAATTGCTGTTAATTATACATATTTTATGAAATTAACTGCCTAGTCGCCGTTGTAACCGCACAACCATTGAAAAATGGATGATATTACTAATTTTTGCTCCTTAGTTCTAAAGAATTTGAAATTTGATTAATTCGTCGACTTTTTTTTTACGTACTATGTTAATGCTCTCTTCTTCTAAGAGTGCATTCAATTTCTTAAAAAATGCTATTCTTTTT